CCACCCAATCAAAAACAGCAACACCAACAACAAAAAAGCAGCTTAAAGCTACTACAATGATTGATCATGATTAACATGGCAGTGATCATGGGCGGAACAGTCTTGTGTCTATTTGCCGGCCTGTTATTCGGAAAGAGCCGAAGGCCGGATCAAGAAGACCCTCGACAGTATCTCGTCGGCCGACTGTTCGGATCCACCGAACCGGCGCTTCGTCGTACTCTGTGTTGGGATGATCGCTCACCATAATACTCCCGACGTGTTCGAGACTGAAAATATTTATGATGTGGGCTCACTCTGTACATTCGATGGCGTCACCCTTGCCAGTGATTTGGATTACAACTTCGAATTGAGTTTCTCATGTCTGGTGGATGATCCCTTCAAGGAAATGGGAGTTGATGAGGAAGAATACAAATCTTACAAGGGGAAGTCGGTATAACTAGTACGTCCTCTAGTTTTTATGCTTATAATGATAAACCACAGTCGATTCTCCACAGGGTTCTTCTGCCACCCATTGGGATCGCCGGCCATGAGCTCTAGTTATTGCTCCATGCCAAAGACTTGAGAATTTTCAGGCGGAATCCGCGAGTCGTCTGAATCAAACCTGACCTCTGCCCTCAGCTACATACCTCAAGTTCTTCCCCGCTCTGCTGCTGCAGATCACAAACCCTCGCCAGACGGAACCTCCAAACGTTCGGATTCTCATTTGATTTCGGAACGACTTAATGTAATTAATCACTGACGTGCGTCACCTCCCTTGGATGCAAAGAAGAGCTGAGGAAAGGGATGCATTGCGAGCGTGAGACTGTCTGGGTGTGGTAATCCACCATAGATCGCTGCGGATCGGCAAGGGCGGGAAGTGGATAAATTTTCTACTTTTTATTTACAAGTCCCAGCCAGTTTTTCCTTCCACTTGGCCGACCGCACTCAAGTGGTTTCATTCATCAAGTTATACTCTACGCCGTAGCCAAGCCGAAAAGCTCAGTCGACTCTCACCTTTTATAGCCGAAAAGAAAAAGCAAACCGGAAACCACGATGCTCGCCCGTGCTGCTCTCATATTGCTCTCGTGCCTCCTAACCGTCAACATGGTAGCCGCGACGGACGCCACACCAGAAAATGTAAGAGCGATGAATCTTCTTCTATTGTTGGAGGCGGACGTTTCTAAACCTCTCTTGTCCACTCCAAGAGAGAGAGAGAGAGAGAGAGAGAGAGAGAGAGTTGATTGTTCACGAAGCAGATAGAGACCAATCCAAACCGATTTGACACTGAAACGCTTTTTTTTTGATTGCCGGATGATGTAGAGACTCTGTAGCGGAGGCAAGATCGTGGGTATCCTCGTTGGTGGCGCGGTCATCCGGACGGATCCCAACGGGACTTGGAAAGGAGAGCCGAGCGGCAAGGGATGTCAGTGCAGCAGCAAGGGCTTCGGATGTCTCACTGCCCCAAAATCCGGTTACTTGCCCACCAAAACGCCCACGACTTGTGTCAAGTTAGACCAGCCTTGCAACTGATGGTGCTCGATGTAGCCCCCTCTTTATCCTTGTTTGTATCCACACTTTCATACAATCCCTTCTCTCTTCTTCAACCTTTTCTCATCAACACACAGAGTTCGCCGAACACACCGGCCACAGTTCATCTTTTCTTCCCTGTCTCCTTTGTCTCATACGCGTAGGAAAATCTGCCACTATCATGCATCTGCAACTTTCTTGAAGACAAGCATTTTTTCCCGGGCAGTGGCAGTCAGACCCATGCAAGGCCAGGCAGGGAGCCCGGCGGCTGTACATACATAGCTCGAGTGCCACCGAGCTGAACAACCCCGTTAAATCAGCCCACATGATAAGCAGAGTTTTGAGGATCAGGGACTCGTGCCAGTTTGGTGGGACCGTGCATGCGTCTTCGGATCAGAAGACAGCTCATCAACGGCCGACCACACATGAGATCATGCACAATAATATACACACATCTCAAGTCCCTTTTCCTCAGAGTCAAGAAGAGCCCTATAGCATATCAACCAAGCCAGTTCAATTTGCCCACTCCTGTGCACACAATGCAGGTGATCAAAGACCTAATAAAGTTTGGTGCTGGGTTAATGAGAATGGCAACTCAGAAAGCTTCTTTTTTTTTAAAAGCAAAAAAAAAAACAGACGAAAGGTACTTTTTTTTTTAAAAAAAAAAAACAAGAATTAAAAGTTGAAGGGAACATTATTGATAACTTGATGGGTAATCTAGAGCGGTTTAAAGCAGAGAAAAATGCGCGGAAAAGCATCTAACAGTCCTTCCGAAGCAGAAATAAGTCCAGGGGTGAAGAAAGGAAAAGTATTCAGTCCATAAGATGCTAACCGTCGCTTTGAGTCTCCAACGGAATGTTCCTTGTTCGCAGGTGCCTCAGATTCGGGACTTCAACACTTTAGCGTATTCCGCGAGAGTCTCAATGGTCTGATCTACCATAGACCGGGAATCTGTATGCGGATGCTCGTATCCTTCTGCAACGGATTACACTTAGTACACGGTTATCTAGAACCTCTTCAGCTTCCTTATCCGATCGAGAGTTGATTGCCTGGCCTCTTTTTGCGGGACTGATGTCGCAATATCGATGGGTGCTGATGGATGAAAGCCAGTCGAGAAAGCTCTCTTTGGAGAGACTCGTTAGATTCGATACCCAGAACCACGAGAATCGTTGAGAATGAGATTTCTCTGTTCATGAGGCGGATACACCAGAGTTTCCCCAACCAAGTCTTCTCTTTTTTCCAACTCCTTGCAAAGCTTCTCAAGGGCATCGAGATACTCCTGAAGCGTGTTGGCTTGGGAATTGTTGATGAGAAACAATCAGCTGGGAAGGGACAAGTTTGAGATGAATGACGATCAAGCAACGACGTTCACTTACATACATCCGACAATACTGCAGAAGGATCTGAATCTTTCTTCTGCGTTGGGGATTCTTGGATGCATAGCGATTAGGCAGATAGTATTGCGGCTTCTTGAATTGATAGCGACGCAGACCGTGAGTGATTGTCTCCCTCCATTGCGGTAAACTGGAGAATTCGAGTCTCGGGCGTAAGATGATCGGTTTTTGATCACCAAGTCATTTTCACAGCATCTGGGGGGAGATTGATGCAGTGACGTCATCCGACCTCGATTGGACCGGGGGTAAGGGAGAGAAGATACGCCGGATCGGGGGATCCGGGAGGGTGAGCGACTCACCCCTCTTTGGTCTTGATCACCATCTCCCTTACATCATCTCTCTCCAGACTTCACTCAACATCAATCGACACGACATGGTTTCCCATCCCCCTCAACCAGGCCCATCCAACTCTCGAGCCTCTCAAGCACCTGATCAACGACTCTCAACCGAACCCCCTCAAACACTCAAACTTCTGCTGATCGGGTCCTCCTCAGTTCAGTCCATCTTACCATCCATTTGTTTCATGGATCCTCAAACGAGAAAAAGAAGCGCAGAATGTATGCAAAAGATGATGATGAGAAACTGATGAGCTAATGTAATCTATCCACGTTTTTTCAACTCTGAAACAAAAAAAAAGGTGGGCAAGTCATCGTTGCTATTAAGGTTTACAGACCAAGTATTTTTATCCGCCGAAGAGTCATCAGCAACGATTGGGGTTGACTTCAAATTCAAATTGATCGATCATAAAGGGAAAAGATACAAATTAAGCATCTGGGACACTGCTGGTCAAGTAAGTACGCTCCACCCCTATATTCATCTCAAGGACATCCATCCGGGGTTTTATGAAGTCTACATCACATCACAATTAACTGACTATTTGATTGGTTGATTATTTCAGGAACGGTTCCGGACTTTGACGAGTAGCTATTACCGCGGTGCTCAAGGGGTTTTACTAGGTTTGTGTGTGCTGTTTTTTTTTTCTCATCCACTCCTGTTTCAGCCCACAATCGTTGACCAGAACAAAAAAAATGAAATATTTAGTGTATGACGTCACCAATCGAGCTTCGTTCGAATCATTACCCTCTTGGTTTAGCGAATTAGATACGTTCGCTCATTCACCACAAGATGTAGTACGAGTGATTGTTGGAAACAAAGTGGATAAGGTTAGTCAACATGAACCAAAAAAAAAAAAAAAGACAAAGAAACCCCCAATACCACGACCAGTTTCGTCGCTTTTTAAAGATGAGTCCTGATGGGGTGACTGGTGCTGTATAGGATGAATCAAGGACAGTTTCAACTGAAGAAGGACGGGCATTTGCGAGTGATAATCATGCGATGTTTTTCGAGACGAGTGTGAAGACGAGGAAGGGAGTGGATGAAGTATTTGAAGCGGTGGTCGACAAGGTACAGTTGTCTCTCTGCCTGTTTCTCTTTCGTTCCTCCATTTACACAACTACACCGAAAACCTAACTGCGATATGTGCATTGGGATACCCAGATCATCGATTCAATTTCTCTACAACGAGCCAGACAGGGTTACCGTAATGACTCGAGAACGTTACCCGGCAGTATCGACTTGGATGCTTATAGTGACGATGACCAAGCCGGAAGTTGGTGTAACTGTTAAAAAAATACATATCTGAGCTGTCACTCTGAATATCAGGACGTCCGTCGACAACCTCGTCAAACTCAACAAGATCAAACCATTATCCCTACTTGTATAGCACATTGTGTATTGTAGTATATACTTGTTAGATCATGGTGTAGTATATACTTGTTAGATTATGGTGTAGTATATACTTGTTGGATCATGGACACACTTCAAATCTAAAGGTTTGATGGGGAGGGTTGATGATGCAGAATGCAGATATCTTACTCCTTGTATTGTATCCACACAATCATCTATACTTATTCTAATGAGACTTTTGTGCATTTTTTATTATCAATTCTGTTAGGTTCTTTACATTTCTCTTTCAAACAGTCATTGTTTTTTTTTTTTTGAAAAATGTTGTCAAGAAAGTCCTAATTTTGTGATCATTGGTAAACTGATCAAAGTATATGTAGGGCAGTGAGGACAAGTATGATATGTGCAGATAAGCCTATCATTGGAAGTCTTCCCGTCGAATTTACAGCCCCCTGTAAAGCTATTTTTACAAGCTCGTGAAACCGTTTTCCCAGCGAAAAATTAGCTTTACAGCCTGTAAATCTAGCTTTACAAGGCCTGTAAAACCCACGTGAAGTCCTCCATTACCTTCAAAGATGCTTGTTATGAAAGCAAATCTAAAAATATCAAGACATAATATCTTCTATTGGAAACAGTCATGTTTGTGTGCATAATGTAGCAGAATATAGTGAGACTAAATCATCAATCTCTTCATTTTTATTTTTATTTAGAATGCTTGTTTTTTTCTTGCATGCAAACTTCAAACTGATCTGAACTCTAAAAACAAACAGCAACTAAATATCAATCACACTTGCTCATTTTGTTTGGACCTTGGAAGTGACTGGGAAATGGAAGGAAAACCCAAGAGATGTATAAGTGGACATTCCGAACTTGACAAAGTCTTAGCTGTGGCAGGTGCATCTGGCAGCATAAAGCTGGCCAGGCTGAGGCAGTTGCCAAAGGGAACTCCCAGGGGAGACTTGCGCCAAAGGTCAACTGACTGGCATGCTGAGTTTCTATTGTTTTGGTGGGAGCAGCACAAGACTTAGAATCATGACACTCCCTCAAACCTTTATGGATGTTTGGTCTGGAATTCTTGAAGAACTACATGATCCTATTGATCCAGACAAAATCTGGAATTTGAACATCACAATGGTAATTGAGATTGATTTTCTAAAATTATGGTTTGAAGTTTTTTTGAGCTCAAATAACACTCTTGACGCCGAGAGGGTTTCTCCTCTCCGCTGTCAAGGTGTACACTCTCAACGGCTGAGAGGAGAAACCCTCTTGGCTGTTGAGGGTATGTACACTCTCAATGCCAAGAGGGTTTCTCCTCTTGGCCGTCGAGTTGTACAAAAACAAATCAATCCCTACCCCACGGCAGCGGCCAAGAGGATTTGTCCCGGCCGCTGAGACCACATTCTTGACGGCCATGAGGGAAAACCCTCCCGGCTGTTGAGGGTATGTACACTCTCAACGGCCGACAGGATTTCTCCTCTCAGCCGTTGAGAGTGTTCACCTCGACAGCGGAGAGGAGAAACCCTCTCGGCGTCAAGAGTGTTCATACCCTCAATGGCGATTAACCAAGCCTCTTTACATATGTACAGTGGGTAGACAGTGAAAAGTGGCTGCTTATTTTGGATTCCAGAGCTCCAAAACACAAATTTGAAATCATGAGACTTGATCAGGTGGTGCATAATAGGTCCCAAAAGATGAATATGAAATAATAAAAGCAAAAAATAAAGTTTCAAAATTTGTGAAAAATAAAAAATAAAATTGATTTTTTTCAATAGCTTTGATATTCATTTTGGGGGAGTGGGAGTGCTGAGAGAAAGAAAGATTGGGAAATGAGAAGAATGATTATAAACGAAAATTTTGGAAAAACTGGTTTTCAGATGGCTTCAAACAGCTGTTGAGTGGGGCATTCACCAGCCCACATTGCAGCAAAGCACTAGAATTTACTGTTTTGGCTCCAATCTGGACCACCAACCCAGCCAAACCTTTTTTGGTTCCAATTTTTTCATTTATAATCATTGTCAGCTCTGTGTATGCTACACTGGTATAAAAACCAGGTGCTATCACTGTGCTGAAGGACTATCAAAGAAAAAGATTACTCTTTTTCACCCTTTATATGTGGTCCAAATTCCACAAAGGTTAAGTCCACACTCCTTTAAGCTTATTTGTTTCTAATGAACCAAATAACAGGAGATTATAACAATTAATAAATTGTTATAGTTTGGATTTTAAAGCAATAATAATTTCTAAGAAGCAGCTGGCAAGCACTTGAGCTGATTGGCTACTTGTCAGAGGTGGTAGTCTTGCAGCAACTGCTTTATAAGGAATTTTAGTGAGGGATGAAAGGGGAATTTCAAAGTTACACACTAATAATTCCAGTAGTAAAAGGTTGATTGGGATTGAGATAACTACTCTAAAAGTAGGAGGAGAATATTCACTGTACTTACTAATTATGCTGTGGGTGAATATGCTGAGGAACCAATCTTAGGCCAGGAATGGCCTCCTTTTATATTCTAGAGTCCCCCTTGGGGGCACTCTTAGAATATTCTAGAATGTTTATTTAATGTACTACAATAGTAGTTCTCTCATGATGTAATGAGAATATTGTAGTAGATTAAATACAGTATTATCTATGTCCCCATGACATCATGATGCATTGTTATAGCCAATTACATCATGTGTCTACTTATAATAGAATAATACTGATGGAAATGACCACACACTTAACAAAGGTGGTAATTTCTACACTTTGGGTTATAGTTTAAATTTATAGTTGTAACTATAAATTTAATATTTGTTTTTATCTTTATTTTATATTATTTTTAAGGTGTTTGATACTTTTATTCCTACTAACCTCTGAGGCTCTTGAGTTATGACAAAGTCCTAAAAGGAGTAGGAATTTGGGGGTGGTTCCAGTGAGCAACCCCCTCTAAAATATTATGAAAAGTTCATTCATGAAATAATATTCTAGGTTTTCTTATTATTATTACAAGTAATATATTATTAAGCAGTCTTTTGGATACTCTTGAGGATCTCTAAGGCTGACAATCATTCTTCCCATGTTCCACTCTTTCTTTCTCTCAGCACTCCCACTCCCCCAAAATGAATATCAAAGCTTTTGAAAAAAATCAGTTTTATTTTCTATTTTTCACAAATTTTGAAACTTTATTTTTGTTTTTATTTTTTCATATTCATTTTCTGGGACCTATTATCCACCACTGGAACAAGTCTCATAACTTCAAGTCTGTGTTTTAGAGCTCTGGAATCCAATATGAGCAGCCACTTTTCACTTTCCACCCACTGTACTTATGCATAATGTTTTTTACCTTTACCTCTTTTTATCTTATCATTATAGTATCTTATCTTCACTTTATCTCTGAATACTTTATCTTATTAATATTTATCTTATACATCTTGATTACATATGAACCCAAAGTATTATATTATCTTTTGATTACTTATCAATTAAATACCTATCTGTTTTACACATAAGTAATTATAACTTATCTTTCACTCCTTTATCCGTGCAATCCTTGTACCACAAGCTCTCCTTGCTCTACAGTATTTTGATGGTCAAATATCATCACAAATAAATATGTACTAGTATTGAATGTTAATTATTAATTGTCAATAGAATTAATACATTCAAATTTCAATACATGTACTGATCACAATGATGACTTCATTATTAGAGGATCAGTTAAACGTGCACACATCAAGAGCAACTAGTACATTGATCAACTAGCACACAATTATGATATCACTTACTGATCATAACAAATAATGATTAGTCACTCGATTGATGTGCTCATTTGCCTGCCCAAAGATCCCTTGGTTCTGAGCGCTCATTCTTTCCCTCCTTCAATATTCTGGAACATATAATCCATGCCAAATCCACTGATAAATCCCCAGAATCTTCAGACACAAGTTAAACCAGTTAACATCTATATTGATAGAGTCAATACTCCAAGAACCAATCAAGTTTTGTGAGTTGGCACCAAAAAGAGATAAGAAAACCTCTCAACGGCCGGAGGAATCCTCCCGGCCATCAAGAGTGAACCAAGAGTGTATGTCAAGAGTGTACATCTCTTGATGACCTAGAGGAATCCTCTTGGCCATTGAGAGTGTATGCTCTCAAAGGGAGGTACAGCATAATTGGTCTTCTGGCCTATACTAGAAAAAAGCAATCAGTACCACTCACATTTCTCACTCATATTGTTCCCCATGGATAAGAAATTTAGGAAGATCAATTTCTTAAAAAGAAATGAGAAATCCTTGGAATTGTTTCCCTGGCACTGATAATTCAAATTTTGGCTGTTCAAGTATATAAGATCATTAGGTCAGAGTCTTGTTTATTTTTTGTAGAATGTGGAAGTATTGTGTTTTTGGTTCGCTAGTAGCAGTTTGATCCCCTTGAAAACTTGACAAGAGTACAAAAATGAGTTATGGGAGAGGGTTATTTTTCTTTTTGAGATTTCAGCTTGTGTGAATGTGAAATGGAAAGATGATGTGGAAAAGGGTGTGTTGATAATTCAATACAATCTTATTGGTGCTAGAGAGTGTTTGTCATTTACCCATAAATTTTGCAGATTAGTTTATTGGGAGGGCATTTTGCTTTGCAGAGTTTGCTTGTGCTTCTACTGACTTAATGTAAGGTCAGATTTCACGAGCTCATCTGTTTTTAGCCCTGGTTTCCCCTTGTGGTATAAAAGAGCCATAACCCACAAAATTATAAGTGTATCAAAACATTAAACACAACTCACACTGCAAACAAGGGCAAATTTGCTTCAAGCTGAACTGACTGCACAAAAGTTTAGAACCAGATGTGTCACAAACAAAGAAGGTACCTTTGCATATCCTGGAGGAACGAGCTAAACTCCCTAGGTGTGCTTCTTATTCGTCACCATCTGCTGCAGATGAAACAGGGAATGAAAGATTTCGGTGACTCT